AGTGCTTGAAGAAGTTCATCAGTTTAAGCTGTTACATGTCATAATTTCTTCAGTATAGGTTCAGGAGAAGTTGAGATATCAATATCAGTATCAGTGTCAGTGTCAGTGACAGTTCAGAGAGAAGATGTTCTAATTAAAAAAGTATGTATAGTGTCATGAGCTGTTTGATCTTGATCAACTAATATCTTCAGATTCAAGAGCTAGTGCTCTCAGTTCATTCAGTGAGTATCTATTGCATCAGATAATATATCTTACTCTCATTATAAGAGACTATCTGTCATTGAGTTCTGACTGTCAGAATGATAGTGTATTATAAAATGAAAGCATCTTAAGAACTCACATCATTATATCTGTTATTCAGTGAGTTTACAGATAGTTATAAAGTACTTGAGATTCTTATAATCTGTGATTATCTCAAACTCAGAGATGCTTCAGAGTTCAGAGTCTCATGCTTTCAGACAGTGTACAATTGTAAGAAGTTTCTTATTATAGATCTCATAGTTGCATTCAGTGAGACTCAATTTCTTAGACATGAAGATATATGATTGTAAGACATCTTCATCATTATATTATAATATAGCTTCTTCTGTGACATAGTCAGATAAATCAGCCTTAATAACTGTCTCATGATCAGAATTGAATGTTATCAGCAGAGAGATATTAATAAACATTTTCTTCATCTGTGTAAATACAGCTTCAGTGTCTGCTGATTATTATAATACTGAGTCTTTCTTAGTGAGTTCTGTAAGTGATCTCACAATATCTGAGAAGTTTCATATAAATTACTGATAAAAGTTAACAAATTTAATGAAGCTTCATATATCTTTCACAGTGTGCAGAGTCTCTCATTCAAGAATAGTAGAGATCTTTTCAGAATTCATTCAGATTCTCTTATCAGCTGCTATAATAAAGTCTAGATATTTTGTACTTTTAATCTTAAAATTATACTTATCTATGTCTATCAGTAGTTCTGCTTTCTGTAGTTATTGTAATATCTTTTATATATATTCTTGATATTCTTTCCTAAATTCATTAGTGAAGATGAGAATGTTATCAAGATATACAGACATGAATTCATTAAGAAAGTCTCAGAGTGCTCAGTTAATATACTTCTGAAATATACTGAGAGTATTAGTCAGTTCAAAGAGTGTGACTACTCATTCAAAGAGACTATATCATGTTCAGAATGCTGTAAGCCACTTATCTTCTTCAGTGATACAGCTCTTATAAAACATGATGATAACATATAACTTTGTAAATTATTGAGCTTGTTCAATGTGAGCTAGACTTTCATTGATAAGAGATAAAGAATAACAGTTCTGCTTTATTAATCTATTTAATTCTCAATAATTCACACAGAATCAAAGTTCTCTATCTGGTTTCTTTGCAAAGAGAATAGAGGCTGTAATGAAAGAGTTGCTAATATGTATAAATTCTTTATTCAACAGATCATTAAGTGTCTTTCAAAGAAGAAGAAGTTCATCTCAGAATATATTATAAAGAGAGTCTCATAATGATTCAGAGTTCTTATCATCTCTCTTTTTCAACTTGATACTGTGATTCACTCCTGAATCTTGAAAGAGAGATAGATTTGTAACATTATTATCTTGTCAGAAGTAGACTGACTGTGTGACTGTGTCTGAGACCAGAATCAGATTTTTTGATAGTCGCATTATCAATTTGACTGATCTCATTACACGGTTTTAACATTAGATAGTAGTTTCATACTGTTTCAGTGAAACTTACTGTCTACTCTTCTCACATTTTTCAAATAAGATCATGATTTTCACTTCTCAATTTAAATTATTTTTATTGCTTTAAATGACTTTAAATCTTCTTTAAGTGTTATCAAAAAGCGTCACTTTTTTTTCAAAAATTAAAAATAGTCTAAAAAAAACCTTAAAATGTTTAAAAATAGTAACTTTATGCCAAGAATGAGACTAAATGAAATTAAATAGAACCACTTTCTTCTTTTTTTCAAGTCATGATTTCATTTTAAGATCTCATATATAGTCACTTTGCATGTTTTTTTAATGACTAGTCTCAGCGCGCTTTACATCAAGGAATGTATGAGATCAGATTAAATGAGATCAAATGTGAAATTCATAATCTCAGTGACTAGTCTAGTCAGAAGATATCTAGATATTCATGATATTATTAAGAGAGTTGTATACAAGAATCTGTTATTGTAACACAGAATAACTTTTTCAGAGTCTTTTTAATATTAGTCAGACTGATGAAATAGATTAATACATAATTCTGCTATCAGCAATCTTATTAATGACTCTGTTAGCAATTTTGATAATAACTTCTTTTTCAGAGTATTTCATAAGCATTGACAGAGATCTGTGTAAGATTCATAGTCTTGTAAATATTATCTTTGTGAATTCTATCATTGTTGAGAAATATCAAGCTTCTGTTTCAAGTATTTAACAAGATGTCTTGTTCAGATAGTCAGATAAGTTCTAATATAAGATTATAATTGAGATTATCAACTTTATATATATAGACATCTTCATGTTAATATTCTCTCATATCTATGTTTAGTTTTATTATATAACAGATATAAACATCATTTGAATCATTAAATTCTGCAAGAAGTCAGAATTTTGATAAGAGAATATACTAAAGATTATAATATCTTACAACTGAAGATTTTATTATTGTATAGTAATATAGACTGCTGTCTATCATGACTTTCATATTATACATGTTATCTATCACAGTAGATACAAGAATCATATTCATTGTTATTTTCTCTTTAAATTATTGTTATCTGATCTCTTCAAGCTTCTGTTTGCAAATTTGAATAGAAGATAATCTTTTTCCTGTTTCATCAGAGTATTCTTATAGTTATTCTCTAAATCTTTCTTCACTGAAATGTAATTGATGTGAACAGGTACTGATTCATTCTTGAAATAAGAAGACACTGATCTTTCTCTTAATTGAGAAGATATCAGTCTTTCTCTTGAGTGTGAAAACATATAGATTGATCAGCAGTTGAAAGTGATATATTCTAATCAGTTACAGTTAATATATACTTCTTATTGATGTCAATCAGCAACTTTCTCAGAAGTGATCCCAGAAACTTGAAAGTCTGTTCAAACAGCAGAAACTCTTGCTTATGTATAGACATTTGAATCTATTCAGTTCATAGCATCTGCAGTATTACTGTTCTTCAGTATGAGTGTATAAGTAACTGAAGTGTAATATCTTCTATTACTGTTCTGTATACTCTTGAGCTTGATAAGACAGTCATTCAATGTCTGAAACTGTGTGCAGAAATCTTCATAAGTCTGATCTTCATCTATACTTATAAGAGTCTGTAAGAGTTCAAAAGTTAATATCTTCTTAAGCATATTAATCTTTATTTAATTCTTTCAAGATTGATTATCTTCTTCTAGAATCTTAATGTTACAGTCAGGAATAAATATTATAAGAGAAGTGTTTCTCTATCAGATACTCTGTAATCAATCTAATACTTTCTATTATATAACAGCATCTCAGAACAGAATATCAAGATATTTAATAATATTATCAGATATTTGTAACACTGATTTATATGCTTTTATTCATGAATAAAACTTCTGTTATATATGATTCTTCAATTATTCATTGATATATTAAACTTAATTAATTAGTGAATTGATAATATCTTCATTCATACTTAGTTTCATAAGCATTTTCATTCTTCATGATGAGTAGAGAGTGAGATCAGAAGTATTGAAATATATAGAAGTATCTAAGTGTTCTTTCAACACTTTTATACTCAATTCTGTAGATATTAAAATTGCATGAGTTTCTTATTATAATAATTATTAAATCTCTTTAAATTAGTATTATTAAGTTGCATGCATATTAGCTATTTATTACTATTATAATTTCAATATTACTCAGAGTCACTGTAATATTACTTCTATACTTATATTCAAGAGTTCTCTTATATTATTATTAGATATGTCATTTATTGAGTATATAATATCTGTGAAATCTTGAAGAAGTGTAATTATATGAATATCTTATATATCTGAGTGTTAGAACTCTCAGGTCTTTCACTCACATTCTCTTTATAAAGTCTTATTATAAGGTCAGAGTGACTGATAAGTAAGCTTCTATCTAAAAACTCAGTATCTGCTTAACTATGTTTCTCTTTCTTATACATTGTTACATGTTTGAATATCTCAGTGAGTAATCATTTCTAATAAGAAGATAATACATGAATAATTGTTTCTAATAAGAAGATAATGAACATTTTTCTAGTATAAGAGATCTACACTAAATAGATTACTATGATATTAATAGATCTTATATAATAAAGAGAAAAACATTAGAGAAGTAAAAGAAAGAGAAAGTATAAGAATTAATAATTAAAGTAAATATTTATATACATATGTAATAATATATGTAATGAAACTTGAGAGTAGAAGAATCTATACATGTTTATAACAGCTAAGAATTAGTGCTTGAGAATGACTGAGAATCAAAGTGTATGTATTTATAGCAGCTGAGAATTAATGATTAAGAATGACTGAGAATTAAAGTGTATATATTTAAGAATGAAGTAGTTGAAATCTGTGAAGTATAATAAAATAATCTATATAATTAATCAGATACAGTCTGTTATAATAAGTGTTCTAAGTTTCTAAACTTATAAAATAATTACTGAAATAGTAAATTAAAGTTAGTAAAATAAGTTTTAAATTTATTTAGAGATTAATAATTATATAAACTTTTAAATATCTGATATCTAATCACTTTTAAATCTTAACTCTTAAATATCAGATAATTGATAGCAGTGTCTCTCAGATTATAATTAATTTATAAATCTTAATTTATAAGTTCAGTAATATAATCAATGAGAGTAATATAACTAGAAATAAAGACTATAAAACAAACTTAGTTCAGTTAATTCAGAAGAATTTGAATAAAAGAATTCATAATTTTCAATAAAGAATAATATCAGTTAATAAGATAGTTTTTAGAATTAGTAATTATATAGATTGAATTCAGTGACATTATTAATATAATAATTGATTTTTTCAGTTTATAACTTATTTACAGTGATTCTATCATTCATTTATCATTATACTATGATTTACAGCTCAGTGACTGTGTCATCAATTGAAATGATGAAACAACCATAATCCGGTCGTGTAATAACCCTACGTTCTTCCGGTAACTATGGATATGTGTGTGGGTCACGTGGGTCAGGGCTTGTGTTGTGTTGGCACGGTTATAGTACTATGTATCATACCACCTGGTATTACTTGCAACTTTCTTCCGTTCCCTCAAACCTCGTATTTATGTAAGTTTACGGCCTTGGGGATCGTGAACTTTGGTAACTGAGTTTGAATTTCTTTCTGTCGCCTTTCTCCTTTGGTCGATTTTCGTACGACGGTTGGGCTTGGATGGTAATTGTGTTTATAAAGGCACATATTCACTCTATCGCAATCTATGTGAACATTCCTATCTTTTCACTGGTAAGTTACAAAACTTTTTGTTCCCGTACGTATGTCGTTTTTTTCCTCTAGAAACCGCCAGGAAAACATATACAAAACGGTATCATCACATCGCATTCAAATCACCATCCTCGGCCATCCGGTCCCGATAGAACCCCGCCACCAAAAACGCCAACTCCAGCGCTTGCTTCTCATTCAGTCTCGGGTCGCAGAAAGTGGTATAACGCTCACGCAACCCATCCTCCGTCAGGCCCGCCGCACCACCGACACACTCCGTCACCGCCTCACCAGTCAGCTCCAGGTGCATACCGCCCAGAAACGAGCCCTGTGCGCGATGGATCTCTAACGCCTGCCGCAGTTCAGACAAGATATCTTTGAAATGGCGAGTTTTGAGACCCGACGGCGTGGTGAGTGTGTTGCCGTGCATGGGATCGCATTGCCAGACAGGCATATGACCCGAGGACTGTACCGCCTTGATGTGTCCAGGTAGGTAAGTGGCGATTTTCGATGCCCCGTAGCGTGATATCAGGGTTACTTTGCCAATTTCCTTGTCTGGGTTGACGATGTTGAGGAGCTCGATGAGTTCGTCTGGGTCCATTGATGGGCCGATTTTGATGCCGATGGGGTTGGAGAGACCGCGGAAAAATTCTACATGGGCACCGTCGGGTTGGCGTGTGCGATCGCCTATCCAGAGGAAATGGGCTGAGGTCGCGTAGTGGCTGTTTGATGGGAAGGGGGAGGAGGGAATGGTTCCTCCTATTGGGAGGGTGTGTTTCGATCTTGGCTCTGGAGGATCACGGCAGAGTCTGGTGAGACTCTGCTCATATTCCAGCATTAAGCCTTCGTGGCTGGTATAGATGTCCACGGTCTCGATTCCGCGGTCTGTGTCGAGACCTACGGTTCTCATGAAACGCAGCGAGTCTGTTACTCTGGATACGATTTGTTCATATTTGTCTTTTATCGACGGCGTAATTACGTGACCAAGTCCCCAGTCCAGTGGAGAGTGTAGATCAGCTAGACCGGATGAAAGAGCTGCTCTTAGATAATTTAGAGTTGCGGCGGAATGGAAGTACGCAGAAACTAGGCGTGATGGATCAGGTTTCCGGGAAACGGGATCCGCTTTAAAGCCATTGATATTGTCACCACGGAATGCAGGCATGGTCACGCCGTTGACGGTTTCAGTCGTGCTTGAACGAGGCCTTGATGACTGTAAGTATTATATGAAAGCAATGCACAGCGAGAGATTCAACTTACTTGGCGAATTGACCAGCCATCCGAGCAATTCTTACTACTGGTTTATTTGCACCTATTTGTAGAGTTAGCCACGAAACCGAAGTTAATAGTGGTGTTCAGAATCATACCCCAGATCAAAATCAAACTCATCTGCAAAAGCAATTTGATCTTCGACTCAATTGTTGCTTGATTGCAGTAATCAAAGAGTTCCGCACAATCACCTTCTCGGCGCAATGTCAGTTCACCGAAGTGTTATATAATGTTTCATGAGGTATATAAAATCATAGGGGTCCCGTTACTCACCCCCCTGAAGAACAAAAGCCCTCCCAAGGGCTACTTTTCTCAGGCATTGTTTCAACTCAACAATCTGGGCCGGGAAGTTAGCATCTTTGATTAGCACAGTTTCTCCCGCGTGCATGGTTCATACCTCCTGGGGAGTCACCAATGGAGGTAGACACTGAAGCTCAATCAGGGCCTTTTTCAAGCCTTCCTTATCTTCGTACACCACCTCTTGCTTGATGGGTTTTGTTGTCCATGCTGTTCCATATTGTCAACTATCATGTACCAAACAAAAAAGACAAAAAAAAAAGGCTAATTTCAAATGGGGCATACAAGATGGAGTCCAAGCATCTTTGGGCAGCTGTTGTTTCATGGCGGCAGGCATGTCGAGTTGGTAGATCTCTTAGATTGAGAGGCGCGGATACCCCGCCAAAACGCAGATAGGGCTGATATGACGCTGGTTCGACGCTAGGTGTTTCTCAATGTCGCAAGATCAATGATCGAAATATTGCTTCGAGCTTTGTAACATTAATGTTACTCTACAACGAGGAGAAAGCAAAAGGAGTGTCGGGGGGTGATGGAAGCGGATATATAAAACCCGCTGGCAACCGCGTAACACTGATATACGACAGAGAGCACAGCCTCTCAACCGGGCTGCGTATATATGATTTCTTAACAAATTTTCTTGCGAAGGAAAAGACGTTGGTTGTTGGGGAAAATTTGTCTCGAACAAAATTTGGGCCGTGGATACTTTGACCAGACTGACCTGGTGAGTCAGCAAGCTGGCCTGGTGGCGGGGTTAAAATTAGCAGTTCCGCTCCTTCCTTCGACCTCCAAGGTATGTATAACATACGTTGTCGCTATCAACCGCGGTCAAGAGTGAACCTCAGAGAATTTAGAATATGTTTTGTTAAATAAAGACCAGCTCAACTGTTCCAAAGACTCACGTAATCCACCTCCCCCATACGGAGTACAGACCCCCTTTCCCGGCGACATAAACTTGAGACTAGCTATGGCTGCCTCGAAACGTCGGAACCATCCAGCTGCGGAGCCTGGTCCGGACAGCCACAACAACAGCGATGATAATAATATTAACGGCGAATCAGCTTCTGAGCTTCCTACAAATGCTGAGGACCGTGCCGCGGCGGCTGCGCTCTCCTCTCTCAACACCGCCAATGAAACTTCCGCCTCCGAACACGACAGAGACGTCCCCGCGGGAGCGGTTGTTCCCTCTGCAGCTGACCAAGAGGCTCTGGGTAAGGCGATGAGCAGGTTGGAGATTATCGCGGGGATGGGGAAAGCTGGCGGTTCAAGTGCAGGTGCTGCTATGGGGACTGGGAAAAAGGATGCGGAAGTGAAGAAAACTAAGGCCGAGGAGAAACCGGACGCGGGGGAGGTCGAGAAGGCGGTGAAGAAGAAGGTGGTAAAGGTTACGGCGGAGGATGTTGGGCTCTTGGTAAATTTTTTTTTTTTTCCTTTTTTTTTTTTTTTTTTTTTTTTTTTTTTTTTTTTTTTTTTTTTTTTTTTTTTTTTTTTTTGGTCTCTTTTTCTACCTGGGTTATCATAGTCGTTTGCTGATTGATTGGATGTAGGTGGATCAGCTTGATCTTACAAAAGTAAAAGCTACGGAACTCTTGAAAACACACGAGGGAGACTCAATCAAAGCTATTCGCGCATACATTGCTCCTCCGGCAGCGTGATAACAGGGAACAAGGAATGGAAAATCGTTCGATGGATAAGGCCTATCAGCGTCATCAGATGTCTCGGCTCCGTCAACCTAGGACATATTAAGGCATTACCTTCAATTTAGAAAGGCGTCAACACTTGGGGGACATGGACACAGTCATTATCTCAGTGATCCTAGGGCCTTTGGAGGACGCAATGCACTACAATCATGAATAACTGGGGGAATATGTCTCCCACCTTCCAAAGGGACGTACATTTTGTTATATGGTCCATTTCCAGGGTTCTTTCATAAATGAATGAGCAAGACTCAGAGGACCCGGACTCAGAAGACCCTGACACTATACAGAAGTATATTCGGTAGCAGAGTATGACGACGTTGACCAACAGGAAGCATCCTTTTTGTGTGTTTTGGAACATCCATGTATATGATTTAGCTACTACGGGTATAACTTCGAGGTCATTAGCGTTCCGTATTTCCAAGAGATCAACATATGTATCCCATTATCCCAATATGACAATCCAAGTAGATAGACTAAAAATCATATATAAGTAGTGCAGCATTTCCATAATCATAGTCTCATCATAAGATCAAGGTCCAATGTCATAATTAAAACGGACCTACGATATACCTCATCTGCTCCTTCGATGCTCGGAACCTCCAGTTGCATGATTTTGTTCGAGTTTTTTCTTTTCAATCCCACGGCCCTCGAATATAGTCCAAGTAAGGCCCCATCCCAAAAACGCCAGAACTGCAAGAGCCCACCAAACCGCACCAACAATATTATATTTGAGCCCCATCCCCACGCCCCAACCACCAATCACGGGACCCAGAGTCCTAGCACAGCTGACCACGCTCTGTGCAACCCCATGTAATGTACCTAACACGGTCGGATCCGAAACAGTATTGTTAACCAGAATAATACCCGCAGGGAGCGCAAATGTTCTCGAAATAACCTGGAGGGAAAAAACTGCTGCCAGAGCTGGCCAGATGAGATATGCGCGGTTCGGCACGAGAGTTAGGAATGGAACCAAGACATAGGCAAGAGGGGAAAACGGTATAAATGACCGTAGCGACTTTAGCGTCCCTAGACGGAAGTGAACGCGTGGATAAACCAAGATCTGTAGTGGGAGGCCGAGAAGGCCGATGATGGCGGTCGCGAAACCGACTTTGGAGCTCGGCATGCCGAGACCGCCGCCGAAATGGAAAAACCCACGGCGGCTTCCTTCGGGGGCTCGAGGTGTGGGTAAGAAGACGAAAGTCAGGGCGTTAAAGGAGCTGAGGTGCATGGCGAGGACGAAATGGGTGAGAAGCGTGAGTATGACATTCCGTGTCCAGATTTGACGGAAAGGCATGCGTTGCTGTCGGGGTGCCCGGGCTGAGGAAGGTGTTGCTGGCACTGATCCTTGTACGCTTCTCTCCAGATCGATGGATTCTCCTGCGGTCTCGACATCATAAGTTCCGTCGATTGGGTGATAGTTATGCGAGGAACGACCGTATTTAAAGTATCCCCATAATGCTTTACCCGCTTTTCGGCCCCAGTCGCTGCGATACTTAGCTGATTCATGAGTCTGCAAGAGAAGTTAGTCAAGGTGGTACAAATTCAAAGGAGTTAGCGCGCATAGAAATGAAGCCCACCTCGTCCAATCCAAGGATAACAGCTAGCGTAGAGATCAGGACCAATATCGCGCTTATTAGATTTGGTAGCGCATATGGCCACTTCTGCATCCACCAGACGCCGTGTTGGCCCCCAAAGAATGAACCCGGCCCGAACAGACCTGGATAGTTACCCAGAGGATCAGCGAGAAGTCCACCTAGTATAGGTCCTATTACAACGCCGATATTAAAACACATTGGCTGGAGCAAGAAGGCCCGAGATTGGTATCTAGCACTCTATTAGCCAGCGATTCTCTAGGACTCGGCACTTGGCCATGTTGCCGTTCGGAGCTTTATCATAGTTTCACAAATGGGCAAACGCACTTTCTCTCCACGATAAGCTCTGCAATCATGGTCCGCATGACGCCGATGTTGCTGTTCAAGGCGCCTCCCATAGTGCGAAATATGGCAGCAGCGACGAAAGACTGAGAAAATCCAAATCCCACACACATAATAGACGCTCCAAAAAGGCCTGTTGCAAGCACCCTTTTCCTTCCCATGAAATGAGTGTCTGCAAGTCGGCCCCAGATCATGGCTGTCACAAACTGTGCTGCAGTGAAGCAGCCCTGTAGGAGACCAGCTCGGGCAGATATCGCGGAGTCCGGCAAGTGTGGGTCGAAGGACTTGAGTTGGTAGAAGAGATACGCTTGTAGGGAAGTTTGGGTGAGCGGCTCGGACAATCGAGCAATGGTTAGAATGGCCAGTTGGCTTTTGTTTGGTAAAGACCGCCATGATACTGGGTTTTCATCGTCCCGATTATTCCCATTTGACCTCGAAATATTCGCCGCGCTTGTCTCGCCCTCCTCAGCCAAGGATGGCTGTGTATCCCAAGAACTGGAAAGCTGCAAAGCAGCAGGTGAGTGGCCTCTTCTTATCCGCCCATTGAAACCATTTTTCCCTAAAAGATGACCGTGAAGGTCAGTTGTATCTCCGCTCAATTGTTCCAAACTTGACGAATCGGCATCTATATTTTCATATATATCACTCTGGGAGCTCTCTCTATCAACCCCAACTGCTGCAATGGAATCATCGTCATTCTCGCGAGCATTGGCCCCTACGCGGGACGCTACATTTCCATGTAAGATAACAGGAGGGGAGCGACGTTGGGGCGAGCTCATCCACAGAACCGAAATGCCGAACTCGCTGATTAGATAAATACAGGCAGACAGTGACTGGCAACGTTCCTGTGCCACGACGTCCAAGTATTTTGTATTGGGATAATTGTCTAGGTGAAGCCCGTGTCTTTGTCTCCTTTGTGATGCGTATGAAGATAGAAAGGAGGTGAAGCGTAAACTCACCGTCGTGCGGAGAAATATGACAACTCCAGCCGGTCAATCGCTATTGCCGAACGGAGAATTTCATGGTGGCGGATGACTAAGTACAGTAGTTACGGCAGTCTATATTGACAAATGTGTCAAATTGCTATTTTATACCAGTTGTTCCAATGAGCACACATTAATTGTATTAACAATCAAGATCTCCTCATTGGAGGTTGTATGAAGAATGAGCCACATAGAAACAGTACGTATATACTCAGAGCCTTCAGAGGAATCTATATCCAGGGGTCTCTATGCTCAGGGGCCTCTATACCCGGAAGCTCTATACACAGGACTCAGAAGGCCTCTATACTAAGAGGGTCTATACACAGGGAAACTCTATATCTATATACCTGAGGGCGTTCATTGCCGGGCCGGGAGGGAGCTCTACAGTGTATACACCCAGGAGAACTAGTAGTAAACTACAGAGTATATATTGAGAGGTCTGTGGAGTGAAGCTCATAGTGTAGTGAGAATCTCAGCGCGGTTAAATTGTTTGCTGAGGCCTCGCCTGTACTCCGTACAGCAGTCTATAGTGACAAATGTGTGAAAAGAGTTTTTTTGTCTCCCTCTACGGGCTGACTGCTTCCGCCTAAACGAGGTGTTCGCCGATCGCTTGGTGAATGCCAACCACACATAAAAGCTGCACAACAGCTAGATCTTGATAATACAATCAACTACTCTATTATATCACCTCCATCTACTTATGCATAAGAATCTGCTAATTCTATCTTAAAATCAAATTCTTATACTTTATACTTAAATTAAAGACCTAATTATATTTAGACTGACTGCTGAGATCATGAATTTCATGTTTAGTCTCATTTAATCTGATCTTATACATTTCTTGATGTGAATCTCACTGAGACTAGTCATTAAAAAAATATACAAAGTGACTATATATCAGATCTTAAAATGAAATCATGACTTGAAAAAAATGAGAAAGTAGTTCTATTTAATCTTATTTAGTTTCATTCTTAGTATAAAGTTACTATTTTTAGATATTTTAAGGTTTTTTTAGACTATTTTTAATTTTTTAAAAAGTAACACTTTTTCATAACACTTAAATAAGATTTAAAGTTATTTAAAGTAATAAAAATAATTTAAATTGAGAAGTGAAAATCATAATTTTATTTAAAAAATGTAATAAGAGTAGATAGTAAGTCTTACTAAGATAGTATAAAACTACTATTTAATATTAAATCTGTGTAATGAAATCAGTTAAATTGATAATAAAACTATTAAAAAATCTAGTTTTAATCTCAGACATAGTTACATAGTCAGTCTAATTATATTCTGAAATACTGTATTAGTAGTTCTGCAGTTACTTATTATAAATTAAATTTAAAAGAACTCTATTGATTTTGAAGTTAATTAACTCACTATAGACTTTCATAACAAGTTTATAAGTAACTTCTGTATTTTCACATGAATATAAGTAGACTGGCTGCTGAGATTATAAATTTCATATTTAGTCTTATTTAATCTGATCTTATACATTTCTTAGTATAAATCTCACTGAGACTAGCTATTAAAAAAACATGCAAAGTGACTATATATCAGATCTTAAAATGAAATCATGACTTGAAAAAAATAAAAAAGTGATCTCATTTAATTTCATTTAGTTTCATTCTTGATATAAAGTTACTATTTTTAGACATTTTAAGGTTTTTTTCAGACTATTTTTAATTTTTTAAAAAGTAATACTTTTTGATAACACTCAAATGAGATTTAAAGTCATTTAAAGCAATAAAAATAATTTAAATTGAGAAGTGAAAATTATAATCTTATTTGAAAAATGTGATAAGAGTAGAGAGTAAGTCTCA